CACGGTAATCATAATTGATACTACATATAGACTTCTTTCTTTATATCCTTAGTTAGTTCCTTCTCTTAATCCAATATTGTGCTTTTGTAAAGTGCTGTCTTGAAATCCTTTCCAATTGTTTAACCTAATAAAGGTATCCATTAAATTTCACAATTGTCTAACTCATCTCAAAATGCTTCCAGAAACCTGAAGGAAACAAAAACAACTAGAAACCGAGATGTGTGGCAAGACCTTTAATGATCAAATTTTCTGGAAATTGACACCTCAAGATTTATTTTTAATATCAAAACAAAACAAAACAATGCTAACTCCTATTAAATCTGCTAACACAACACAATCCGTGCCACTTGAACAAAAACGAGAAAATAAAGCACAAGAAGAAGTTATTGTGTGGTTCGAAGACGGTGATGAATCAGAACTTATAAAACATATTAATGAAGTCAGAAGTAAATTAGTCAAGCAAGCTGAAAAAATCAAGAACAAACAATGACTAATCCAATTTTTATCAAGTCAAAAGCAAAACCAACTTATAAGTTGCTCATCTTCAGTCAGGGAGAACGCAAAATATCACCTTCCAGTGGATGGTCAATCATCCATTTACCAACCAAAGGGAGTATTTTCAAACATTAAAGTTGAAGTGTTAATATAGTATATTGGTACAAACAGACAATTTTACTCTTTTTCAATTAATTAGAGCTACGAAGCAATAAAGCAATCACCATCTCATCCAAAGGTTGTACGACCTTTAGGAAGTTAATATCCTGAAATTCTGAAAGAAAGCTCTTTTTGCAGTTACTTTGTAACGATTCAATAGTTTGTACTATCCACAAGTGTACTATTTTAAAGTCTCCATCAAAATGGGGTTCCATATTTGAAAGTAATTGCAAATCATTTGAATTTTTCCCAAAAAGAAAAGATACAAATTCAATAAAGACCTTGGCTAAACATTTCATGTCGTTCTTAAACTCCAAGTCTGTAAGAGTTAAATTACAATATTGATCTATCAGAGAGGAAATGCCAGATTTGTTTGTATTTTCCCTTACCATTACATTCCTAAAGGCAATATCATTGTGTAACAATTTCAGATGATTAGTCATAAAATTAATACCCCTAATGCACCCATCCATAACATAGAGCAAAGTCAATAATTTGACATTATCGTCAAGGTGTTTTGTTTGTGAAAATATGGAATTTTCAACAGTAGTTAACAATTCTGATATTGTTACATCAGTAATGTAACCCTTGTATGGTGTGGAAATATCCCCAAAAATTTCATAAGGGACACTTCTTTTCTCAATGAAATACTTGTAGATTTTGATAGTATTTTTAGCATCCAAGCAATCTGTTTGAATTCTGTCACATGCAAAACTTGTAACACATTCTGCATTATAGGTTTCCATTGGATGACCGCTGTGAATCTTTACAAACACAGGTTTAGTCCCATCTATTAATGTGCCTTCACCATAGCAAATGTAGCTGATTATTTGCTCTGAATCGCAATTGTAAATTCTGGTGTGAATTTTTTTGTTCTCAACATTTTGCAAACCCCAACACTTAAATGTAACATCTTGAATTTTCTTTCCAAAATTGTTGTCGTCAAAACTTTGAGGTTTAAATATATTAGGTGAGCTTGCATTCTGTGTAGTTTGGCTTATTGGTGGAGGAGAAAGTCGTTTTTTGAAATCTTGATCTTGGTCGTCTTTGTCCTCATCTTCCAAATGGTCCTTGTAATATTCAACATTTTTAAAGTTTGTTAGTGTAATTACTTGGCACTTCAATTCTCTATTCCTTGAAATTGGGTAACAACCATAAATGGGATTTCCATAAACTTCAGTGACTTCATTACCATACATGCTAATACTTCCAGTATCTGGATCTACACTAAAGCGAAGGTGAATTTGACCAATCTCATTTAACCTCACAATTCGTTCTTTCTGGACTAGCAAATCTGGAAATTCCTTGCTCAAAAAATCTAACAAATTTGCTTCATCCTTCTCTTCGAAATATACTGCTGAGAATTCTGCACTGCTGACTGGGATTCGGATTAATTTGGCCAAGTTAGATTTGGAATTGAGAGTTATTGGAGTCGCACAGACATTAGTTATTGAACTATCTTGATCAATGTCATATAACAAGTCGCATGCATACTTGACACTATTACTGATTTCTGACATAAATGTGCAAGCGTCTGTCTTGTTGAATATATTTAGTAACCTGGAATATGAAATCTCGTAGTAAATACCATGTAACCCTTTTTGAATCTTGTGGAATATTGGCCGCATTTTTAGTACTACCACCCTGCCTGATGTGTCAGCCAAAAACAGCATTACTACCAATTGTTTTTTAATTTGGTCACGTACTCTACATGCAGATAATTCGGTTGCTATGTCTTTTAGAACTGCTCGTCCTTCTAATATTACTTTTAAAGTGTCTTTGTGAATGCAAAGAAATTCTTCAGCAGTAGATGCGGTAATGTTTTGATTTTCAAACTCGCCAATTACAAAGTAGTGCTTGTATTGAGAGTAACGTACCAGCACAAAATCTGGTTGCATTCTTGATGCATTTTCAACCCATTTCTTATTCATAATGTTGAGAGAAAGCCTCAAGCTATCCGATTCTAATGCTTCACTTGTTTTAAAAAAAATACCTTGGTGTTTGATTAAGGAAAAAATAGGAAACATTTTAAAAACCATTACGAAATACTCTTGGAATGTCGTTTCGCCAAAATGTGTTTCACATTGTATCATATTTTTCAATCTAAAAAGTGGTAAAAATAGGGGAGGTGTTGTAGTTAGTAGCATTTCGTGTTGCTCTGTTGGAGTAAGTCTGGATAGTTTTTCAGCTAGCGTTTTTGCTTCTTCGTATTGTCCTTCCAAAAAGTGTGTATAATGAGGACTTGTTTGGTAATACTCAAACTCCTTTGAAAATTGAGTTGAGAAAGATGTCAAAAACTCACACAGGTGTTGCTTCAAACCCACATCCATTGCAGAATTCTTTTGATATATTTGATAGGCAATAGAGTGATTGTCTGTCAAGTCCATTCGGTCCAATGAGAATTTCAAATTAGCTAAGGTCATACCAAAATGTTCCAAAATACCTAAAAAGCCTTTGTTACTATGGGTCTCAATTAAACGAAAACTGCTTTAACTTACTTGTAGACTTGTAATATTTGTTCCATTTCATATGGATCGATAGTTTCTTCTGGAATAGAATCTGTCATTGTTTCATCATCCGACCATCCTGAATCCTCTGTATCCTCTGGATTAAGTTTTCTCTTCTTTACTCGCGCCACAACTTCAATGTAATCATCTAAGCCTTGGGTCTTTTTCGAAAGATTTACAATTAATTTTGGTCTGGTGGTGGCTACCTTATTTACATTTGAGTTTTTTCTGTTATTTAGGTATTCGTAGTCACTATGTATTTGATCCTTGTTCGGTTTGGCTTTCAAATTGCACAATACCTCTTTTAGTGTCATCTCCTCCAAAGGCTTAATATTATTGGGTGTAGCGTAACCAAATTTTCCTTCAGCAAATTTGAACACATAGCACCCAGAAGGAACAGGCTCTCCTACTGGTTCCGAAGGATCACAAATCTGCCTATGTTTGAAAATAGAAAATAATTGTTGTACTAACCTCAACCGGCCACCAAATATTTCTATTGAGAGCCCACACCACCTCTCCTACCAAGTAACGTTTAGTTTTTGCCATTTTTTTTATTTCCTTAGATTAAGTGTTGGTGATTAATAGAACATTGGTTAAGAGTGTGTGAAAGAATAGGTTTTATAGTCTTGTTTCAAAATCGACTAGATATGGTTCAAAGATGGTTCTTGTGACAACATAGGTTTCCTTAATACTATCTTGTTGAGTTTCAAGACCTTTTGGTACTTTGAGCTTGTAATTCTTTAGTAAAAATACTAGAATTAGTTTCATTTCTAATAGTGCCATTCTCTTACCGACTAGAAATTAAAATTGTTAATTTGTAAATAAATTAAAATACATACTGCAATCTCTTGGACCAATAGAGAAAGGAAGAAGCTTATCAGTGGCCAAATTAATACTCAATTCACCCATTGGCCCTTTTCCATCATTTTCGAATTCATTATTGTCTGATTTTTCCAATTCATTTGATGAGCTATCTGATTTAGTAGTCAGAAATCTATAAGGATTGAATTCATCAAGTCCATTTTTAGCAAAATAATGTTGACTATAGTAAGAAACACCAATGTGAGTATCTTTAGGATAATGAACTCCACCAATTACCTCACCATTCTTCTTTAGAACTATTCTTCCACCAGTACCAATTGGGGTCTTGGTTCTTAATACTTCCTTAATGAAAGATGTCAAGAGTGGTAATTTGTTGGTAATAATTTCAAAAGTAATATCATCGATATTATCAATTTCTTGATTGATTTCTTTCAAGATTTCTTCTTGTAGCTTTTGATCCTTTGCCAACATTCTCAACATGAAAGTTAAGGAAGTTGAACTTGTCTATCAGAGAATTTGATTATTAAATGTTTCGAATATATAACATACCTCAAACCCAGCAAATAAGACAATAAAAATAGCAGATAACAATTCAGACTTGGACAATAAATATTTTGGTAGTACGAAATTATAGATCAAACCATTGAGTAAGTTATTGATCCAATCATGAATTCCATCTCTATGGGCAGCATCCTTATCAAAAATTCCAACATCATAATCAAAAGCAACTCTATTAATTACATCTAAAGTTATTGATTTGAGTTCATTACTAATGTTTACCTTTCTAATTGTACCATCTGATTCTGAGCCATAAATTGATTTCCAAAATTTGATCATCTTTTTGCATTCTTCAAGAGTAACTCTAAAGACGTTCTTCAAGTGAGAAGAACTGCTGAATATTGGATTTGCTAGAGTTCTGTGCTTTCTCCAGATTGGATCATTGGAATCGGCTGAGAAAATATTCGGACCAAATATTCCAACTGGTTCGAACAAGTTTCCCTTTGAGACAGTCTTGTACTTTTTAACAAGGATTTCTCTAATCAAATTCTCATCATTTGAAATGTGAATTTGGCTGAAAGTTCCAAGTTGAATTTTAACAACTTTAGCACTTGGATTATTCTTGAATGAATTTAGGGCACAATCATAAAGGTGATGAACATAAATCTTCCTATGAATCATACTATCAATCAGAGGAGGAAAAAAACTGACATATCCTGGTAAATGTTTAAATTTAAAGTAAATTGTAAAGAATGTAATTGTGTAGCGGATCAACAAATACGAAACAAGACAAACTATCAATAAAAATACATTGAAAAAAGACAGTGTAAACAATTGGTTGAATGAACCAATCAACCCGATCTCTTCTGTCATTTTGATTCTGTGGTTGTTGTATTTTTTTTGAATAGTTCAAGGAGATGAGGATCAATTATTATTGGAAACCAAACTAATACATAAAATATTTATTTGTTAGTAATTTGTAAACTACACAAAACATAACATCCTTCAATGAGGTTCATATCTTCGTCATACATTTGAACACTTCTTAAAGATCCCTCTCTGAGAGCAGTAACTGGAATAATGTTTTCACAAACGAATTTGTCAGCTGAGACCTTATTCTTATCCCAAATTGAGATTTGGAGGTTGGCAAGATCAGGTGCAGCAACATCAAACTCAAAACTTGTGTTATATGTTGGATTCCAACCATTATCCCAAACAGTAGCTGTACTGAAAGATGCCTGATCTTTAGGATGACCCAAAATTGACACTTTAATATAAGGATCAACAATATCACCCTTATCGGCACCCTTAGCTTTTGGAACTTGCTTAGCCATGATAATTTTCAATTCTAAACATTAAAATATGTAAATACAATAAAATCAAGAAACTTACTGATATTTTGTTTGACTGGTGAATTTTCATCTGGATATGGTTCTCCAGCAACTCTCAAAACTTTAGGTTTAAGTAAATATCCACACATGGCATTTTCTTTGAATTTGAATTCGTTAATTCTATAAAATCCACAGTGAGTTTGTGTATTGAGGGCAGACATTTGAACTCCTGTGATGAATGATGGAATTGGGTCATAGTTAGAGGAATCAAATCTTAGACCATGTGGATAAGATCTACTAAAGTGGCTCTGATTAAACTTGATAATATTAGCACAATCATTTTGGAAAAGCTTTTCAACTTTTCCTTCACTGATAGAAAACATCTTATTGTATGGGAGTTTAAAGACTTCTTCAAAGGTTGTCAATTTAGTGGTTCCTAGTGCAGTTATGTCAGATAGTTTTTGAGCAACTTTAACTTTTGGATGTTTCTTTGGTTTTTCTTCCTTTTCTGATTGCTCAACTTCTGTGAAATCTTCATCATCCGATTCAGAATCACAAAAATCATCTTCTGTCTTGACTATACCAGAGGAAGGAACCTTCTTATTCTTAATAATTATTCTTCCTTTGAGATCGTTTGGAGAAGGCCATTGAGATATTTGATCATTTGGCATTAAGAGACGATCACCAAATATTCTAATCATAATTTCAGCCATTTTCTCTTGCCCTGGGATATCGGCATGTACATCTAATGAAAGAATGATAGGATATGGTGATGTCTTGAATCCGTATTCATTTATACATTTAATAACATCCTCAAATAAAATCTTTGAAGTTAAGGTACGTCCATGATAAATAACAACTTCTCCATTATCTCCATTCCAACAATCAAGTCTAAGTACAAGTTAGATTCAAGATCGATAATTTCAAAACTTACTCTACACATCTAGATCCACCCAGTAAACCATTTCTATAGTTTTTGACATCACTCTCACCCTTCAATTGATGTCCAGAGAGATAGGTGTTGTGGGAAGATGCAATAAAATAATTTGTAAGTGGTTGGTTCATATCATGATGAAGAGTGTACAATGTTGGATTTACAATCGAATTATCAGGAGAAAGAATATATGAAGTGAATTCAAATGATGGCATGAATAGAGATCCATCAACCTCTACAGCACCATTCTTCTGCATCAATTCAGTTACTTCAGAATTGGAGATTTTGACATGGTTCTGTTTCTCTTTCAAGTATTTAGTGAATTCCTCCATGCTCATGAGTGCAGAATTAGCTGATGACGAAAATTCATCCTCAATTTCATCGATCACATTCATTTCCTTGAACATTTCAATAAATTCAGCAAATTCCAAAGCTCCACTCTTGTCAGTATCAAATCTATTAAAACTTTGTTTTAAATAATTAAAGCTGATTTCAATATTCAAGTTTTTGAAAAGTTTGTTGACTTCTTGAATGGATAATTTGTTATCATTATTTTCATCAGCCATCATCCAATATCTCATCATGATAACACTCATCGGAGGAGTATCTTTCAAGTGAATAGATCTTAACAAATAATTTAAAGAAACGAGGAAGGAAATAAATTCTTCTGTCTTTGAAAATATAATATCTAACTGTTCTTGAGCTGATCCATATTTAATTGTAATGGTACGATCAACATTATATCCATGTTCCTTCTTCTTTGATTTTAAATGTTCTGCATACTTGAAGAAAGCTCCAGAATCGGTAAAGGAATTACCAGTGATAACCTTTTTGATATCTTTCAATAAAACTATTTTAAATAATAACTCCAATTAATTTTCAATTTTTCGTATTCAATACTAACCATTTCCTTTTCTTGATTTTTTCTTCTCTATTCTAAAGAATGTATAATTATCATCCAAAAAGATCATGTGTTTCTTTGGTTTGATCATCTTTTCCTTTGATTGTATATTTGCTTCGCAACCAAGACCTTTCTTTAAAAGCTCCAAAGTTGATTTTACCATTGTACTATCCCTAAAGTATCTATCAAATACTACATCACGTGTTTGTTCCGACAATTCTAATAAATCAGATATCTCTGATATAGTCTTTGTCATTTGGGCCATTTTCTCTTTACCTGTTTGTTATTGATAATAATCACAATATTATAATTAAATTAATTTTGTGTTGGCGATGATGACTATTGTTTGCAGACTTTTTTTTGATGGTTGAAATTAACGGATGAATTTGGAAGCTGAAATGAACTTGCTATTGTAACTCCTTCAATCTCTTCTATCACTGACTACGAATACTTGGATGAGTTGCCATTATATTCACCCAACAAGAATGAAAGGAAAGAATTTGTATTACAAAGAAAAGGAAGATTAAAAAATCTAATTGCAGTTCAAGAATGGAATTTATGAGAATTTAAGAAATAACATATTGTAAATCCTTCATAAAATACCAACCAATTGATTCAAGTATTGTTTACAACCCAAATTAAATACCTTAAACAGTCCCATCACCACAAAATATCCCAATATCCATTTATAGAACCATGTTGTTTAAAAGAATCCTAAAAAAAATGTCTCTAGTGAAGAGTTGCTCTCGAACCATCACATTCTTCAGCTCGAAACCCTACGTAAAACAATCATTCAATGCTCTGAATGAAAAGGTGAATGAAAAATTCAGAAAAGATTATTCTTTTCTTCAACAATATTATTCTGGATCAAAATTGTTGATCGATTCGAAAGGTAAGATTGCTTCCGAACAAGTTTTGTATTGAGTGATTGGTTTTAGGTACTAGTCCGTATGATTATTTGCCAAATTATGAAAGATTCATGTCGTATTCTGGTCCTTTTCATTTAAAATTTGTTGATGCTAGATTGACTGAATCGACTGTAGAACTTGCTGAACATTCTGATTTTGTATCTGTGTTTGTGAATGATTGTTTGAATAGAAATGTATTACAGACATTGAGTCACAAGTATGGAATTAAATGTGTTGCTCTGAGAAGTGCTGGATTTAACAATGTTGATTTGTCAGCAGCAAGTGAATTTGGAGTGAAAGTTTGTAGAGTTCCTGAATACAGCCCTGCTGCTACTGCAGATTTCACTATTGCATTGATTATGGCTTTGAATAGAAAAATTCATAAAGCTTTTAATAGATTAAGAGATAGTGATTTTAGTTTGGATGGATTGTAAGTTTTTCCTTTTTTGATGAGTTGACCTATTTTATTGAAAATAGAATGGGATTCAACATGTCTTCAAAGGTTTTTGGTATTGTTGGAGGATCTGGAAAAATTGGAAAATTAGTTGCCAAATGTTTAAGAATGGGTTTTGGAGCAAGAGTAATTGTTTACGATAGTTATAGAGATCCAGAATTAGTCAATATGGGTATTGAGTTTGTTGATAATATAGATAGTATTTATGCTCATTCTGATGTTATTTGCCTTCATTGTCCTTTAATTAAAGGAGTTACTGAACACTTGATAAACTCTGAGAGTATCTCTAAAATGAAAGATGGTGTCATGATTATTAACACTTCTAGAGGAGGATTATGTAGAACTGACGATTTAATTGAAGGATTAAAGAGTCAAAAAATTGGAAGTTTAGGTATTGGTATGTGATAATTATTGAAAATATTTTTACGAATATTAATTTTAACAAGATGTCTATGAATTTGAGCAAGATTTATTCTTTGAAGATAGAAGATTTGAAATCATTAAGGATGACACCTTCACAAGATTATTGACATTCCCTAATGTAATTGTAACACCTCATCAAGCTTTCTTTACTCAAGAGGCAATTTCTAACATTGCACAAACAACGCTTGAGAGTCTTTACAGTTTTGATATTAGTGGTCAAATCAAACAACCAAATGTTTTGAACTAATAATAATATTTCAAATTTATCAGAGAATTTTCTTATTAAGAAATCAGGTCGTAGCTCTTCCAATTTGAGATGCATCTAAATCGGAATCCTTTACATCCTTAGCATCCAAATTTCTGATAGATCCAAAGAAAAAGATGCTGCATCCATTGGATATCTTTCAGGAATGAATTCTAATGGTTTCTCCCAATTCTTTTCACTTCTATTGGCAGCAAAAATGTTAATGTGAATGGTAGTATCCTTTGGAATGGCAAATTCACCCAAGGTAGTACTCTTCTTGGCAACTCTAAAAACATTGACAACTGGCGGATGCAAACGAAGAGCTTCCATAATAACAGCATTGACATAATTCATAATTGGATAATCATTATAGTTTGGAGCACGTCTATTAGCACCAACTCCTAAAGTTGCATCAATTTCTTCTCTGGCTTTCTTTTGAATTTCAGGTCTCTTTGACAATTCGTAACAAACCCATTGTAAAGTTGTTGAAGTTGTCTAAAATTTCAAATAAAAAATTCATTACAAAAAATTGTACATTTGCAAATACATACCTCATGTCTATTATAATAAATTAGGACAAATAGTTTTAAAATTAAAATACAAACCCAGCAAGCGAAAATATATAAGCGTCTGATTTGAGTTCAGCATCAGACAAGACACCTTTCTGAATAAAGTTAGCCTCAACCAAAACACTCAATAAATCTTTACGTTCTTCACCACCAGTTGAGATTTCTTCAATTCCCTTTGATTCAACTTCTTTAGTTCTTTCAGAAATGATTTGATCAAGCTTATCACTCACGATCTTCACTGCATCATCAACTCCTGTAACTTTACTAACGAATGGGAAAGCCCATGAAAGTAATGGATTCAAACCAATGAAACGTTTAGCAATCACACCGAGAGTGAACATCTTCTCCAAAGACCTTCTGAAGATTTTACCTTCATCACTCTTTTCATCAAAGATTGAGAAATCCAAACCGAAACCAGCCTTTCCAAGAACGTCTATAACATGAAGGATAAACAACACAATTATTATGAATAAACTTACCTAATGTCATGTCAGAAAAGTCAGCATTTGAATCAAAGATGAAACCCTTATTACCACTATCCAAAGCTTTCTTCATTTCCTTTTCCCACTTGTAATCACGAATTAAATCAACAGTATTTGAGGCAATATCAGCCATAAATTCCAAATTCTTGCTAGCGAACGCACCAGAGGCAACGCGATGATGATTTTTCCATGTTTCACCTCCAGCATCCAAAGCAGATAGGATATTAATTCCAAAAGTATTAAAAACTATTATTTGTAATGAGTACACTTGGTTGACAATTTACGCAGTTTACCTACCTTCATAAATTTTAGCTTGTTTGATAAAGTTATTTCCCTTTACAACTAACAATTCCTTCAACATGTCCTTATCACAAATAGAAACAATATTTCTATCATACATGGCAATACGAACTGTCTTGGTTTTTGGATCACCAAGATCATTCATCAATTTTTCAGTATTTCTGAAACCTCCAAAACTAAGAAATGGTGAAATCAATGGATAACTCTTAAATGTTGAAAAGACTGATATCACAATATTGGGTATTACAGAAAATCCATTCAATTAAATGAAAACTTACATTGGAAAGAACCAGGAATATGTTTAACTTTTAAATAATTATTATAAATTGAAAAGACAAAGAAGGCCACAATAGCCAACCAGACAACAGAAATTGCAATTAACACTTCACTCATTTTCTTTTACTTGTTGATTCTCAAGTAATTCAGAGCAGGTCGGCTTTTAAAACTAATGAAATGTTCGATTCGAACAAAAAACTGATTCCGCTTCCACATACTATTTTGGATGTGGAAAATTTTTCATTTTGGATAATTAATGTAACAAAATGGAGAATTTTTGTTTTTGGGAAATGGACCATCACGCTTTACAATCAAAACTCTTCATCTTCTAACCAATGGTTGGGGAGTGTGGTGATTCAATGTCATTTCAAAAGACAAGTCCACAGCCTCTGCTAAAGATCTCTCATTTATCTAATTGGGTTTTAATATGTATTTTCAATTCGAAATTGAATTAACCTTGTTTCAGAATTTGTCTAAATTATGGAAAATGAATTTCACAATTTTTTGAACAAGAAGTATGCTTTTTCTTTATCAAATTGCTGCTTGATGACAGTTGTACTTCGTTTTATATATTGAGGAGTGATTTCCATCAATTTATTGAATTCCTCTCTTTTGAAGAAATACTCAAACAGAAGTTAAAAATAAAAATCAAAAAAAATTCATCAAATCCATTTTTTGCTGAAGAGACAACAATATATTGTAATCTAGGTTCATCATCAGATAACAACACAATTATCGCCCTGTAGTAATAGTGTAAAGACAACAATTAATAACAATAATAATGGCTGACTCTTCAAGTGATCCAAAACAACAAGCAACTTCATCTCATCACGATGAAGAAGAACTAGAAAACAACAACGCTGCAGCCTCATCATCATCAGCTGCTGATCAAATGGTTGATGATGGAGAGGAAACAACAACAACAACTTCCACAACACCAAAGAAGAAGAAGGCTACTACTTCCAAGAGGAAAACACCTACTGTAGAAAAAAGAACAACACCTAGTAGATCGAACAGAGGTAAATTGCCAGAATATTTGGAAGATTATGAAGTGGGTGAAATTGATTTGAGACAATTGAACAAGGCTGCAACATCATCATCTTCATCATCCACACCAAAGAAAAAGACAGGCTCATCTTCAACACCAAAGAAGAAAGCTACACCAAAGAGAAAAGCCGAAAGTGAAGACGAATCTTCTTCTTCTTCTGAAAGTGAAGAAGAAAGAATTGTTACACCAAAAAAGACACCAGTCAAAAAGGCAAAGAAAGTAACTCCTCGTGCAACTGGTAGTAGTGCAGCAGCATCATCATCTTCTACTCCATCAAGAGCAACTCCTTCCAGACCAACAAATATTTCACTCACAAATTTACCAAGAGATGATAGTCACACAACTACTACAAGAACTCCTGGTAATAGATACTCTGAATATCAAAGTTCTCACATTGATTACGAAGAAGCACTGAGAAGATTGTTAGCAAAAACACCTGGTAATGAATACAAGAGAGGTGATGTTGATGCATCACATTGGGCTATTTCCAATTTACCAACTGAAGAATGTGAATATTTTGATACCAATGCTCTTGTAACAAAGAAGATGACTTTAAAGGAAGTTTTACAAGGATGTTATTTCATTGAAGGAAATAGAACTTTCAAGACAGCTGATGAAACACCTGCTATTCAAATTTGTTTTGTCTTTGATACTACAGGTTCACAAATTAATATTATTGATGATTTGAAATGGAAGTTGCAAAATATGTGTGAAAAATTATTACAGGATGTTCCTGGACTTTTCATTTCTTTAATTGCTCACGGAGATTATGCCGATTCAAGTTTATTCTATGTGATGAAGAAATTAGACTTTTCAAATGATATTGAACAAATAGTTAGTTTTGTTCAATCTTTGAAAGGTACTGGTGGTTTAGACCCAGCAGAATGTTATGAATTAGCTCTAAAAGAAGCAAAAACATTAAGTTGGACTCCAAAGGACAATGCTTTCACTCAAAGATGTTTGGTTATGATTGGAGATGAAGTTCCACACACAGCAACAGAATATTTCAAGATTGACTGGCAAGAAGAATGTCAATCATTATTTAATGACTATCACATCAAAATTCACTCTGTACAATGTCAGGCAAGACCTCATGCTGATCAATTCTATCAATATCTTGCTGATGAAACTGGTGGTAAGAGATTTGAACTAAAGGATATGGACTCTATGCAATCAATGTTCTTAGGTTTGTGTTATAGAGAAGCAGGTGAATTCCAAATGGTCAATCCAGACATGCAACAACATTTACAATCTTCTGATTCAGCAATTGTCAGACCTGAAGGCGAAGAATTGACAGATGAGGAATTGAAAACTATTCACGAAGCTATCCACAACTCAACAATTTCATCAGTCACAATTAAGGGTTCTGAATATGAAATTACAACTAATGATGGTGCCTGTAGATTTGTTCGTATTGGAGAAATTGTTTATATCGAACAAAACAAGGACAAAAAGACAAAATATGCCAAAATGGCTCTCGAAGGAAGAAAGATTACTTGGATAACACACAAAGGAAAGTGGGGCTTAATCGTTGATGACGAAATAAAGAGATCAATGTAAAGTATTTGTAATGTAATTTCTGATCAATCAGCAAATCATTCGTTTCCACTGGAGCAGATTATTGGGAATAACTTTTTGAATGTGACATAACTCTGAGGCTTCTAAAAAAAGGAAATTGAATAATAAAAAAATAAAAACACAATGTTCAAGTAAGATATCTAAACTATCGACAGTATGAACTAAAAATAATGAATAAATTTTACTCGTTTTTTATGGAATATTTTAAAAGACTAGCTCATAAAAAATGAGGTCAAAGCTGAGGATTCTAAATAAGGATATACAAATAGGTTTTAAAAAATAACAACACAATTACCAAGATAGATATCCAAACAATCACTACAAGAAAATAAATTGTGTGAAAACCAAAAAAAACTTACAGAACTTGTACAATTAATAAGTAACCTTAAAAAAAATGAGATTCGTCAGAGAGCGTCTTGAAGTGGTTACCTGTTATATTCCTCGAACTGGGGAGGAGGTTTGTGAGAATACTTCTTCCCAGAGGACTCCTGGTAAGGAACATTATCCACCAAATGCCTGCTTCAATGTCTTTTGGTATAAACAGCCGACTTGGACGCCACCTAACTGAAAGTCATTGTAGAATATTTTGATAATCTCAAAGCATTAGAAAGTGCTTCGGAAGGTGCTAGTGCTGTTGTTAGATTATTCTCCATGAAGAAACTTGGTGAGATCACTAAAACGGCTTCAGGATCAGGATTTTACATTCTTCCCAACACAATTATTACAAACAGCCACGTTGCTAATGAGATTGAATCCATTGGTAAGGTAAATGCGTACAGCAACTCATGGAATATTAACAGTACAATCTCAGGAATGCCAAAAAAGTTAGAAACTTTGTTTTCAGGAAAAGCAATCAAATATTTCCAAATGGAAAAATCGTTTCCAGTTACCCAAAATTGGGTTGGTAGAGATCCAATTACTACCACTGTAGGAAACTTTGATTTCTTTGATATTACAGCAATGAATTTCTCTGGTTCTCCAAATAAGGTGTTTTTCATACCCTCACCACGAATTTGCAACCAAATGACG